TTTCAAACACTTTCAAACTTTGATAACCATAATTATGATTTGTTCACAAAAAAAAAACAATTTTAGCAATCCAATAGCAAGACGACTCTATCCAACCCTAAGTCACCCTTAAGATCATTTTTATTCCCAGCAGATATCAAAACCATTATGTCAATCAGTAGTTTTTAATGATAAACGAAAGAATCCGACAGAACGCACAGAAAATTATCCAATTTTTCAACAAATTAAAAACCAAAATAACAATATATTCACAAAAAGGCAACCACAATTTTTGGAAGATGAAGATAACTTGATAAATTTAGTAAAAAGATAACAACAGCTTAATAATAATCAACAATAAAATCACTGAAATAATTTAGATCAACCAGATTTTTTCGAACTTTATTTGAGCTCTCAACAACCACTTCAATTACAACAACAGCTTTCTCAAATACAAAATCTGGAAGAGCATAGTAAAAACATGCAAACACAAATGCCTACGAAGACTCAAGGTTACCGACCCGAATCAATGAGAAACAAAATTCCAATACCTTAATACTTACATCAACATGAAAAAAAAACGAAAAACCAATTACAAATTTTACACAAACACCAAACACAGCAGTATCACTCGAAATGACAATGAACCCATTTCTAATGGGTGGATCATCTATAACATCTAATAAACAACTTGTGTTATTTACAGAAACAGACCCTGAATACTCAAAAGATCACTACCTAAATGCAGTTACAGCAAATCTAATTTTAAACATAGGTCCAGAACCAATTACCACACCACTTCATCAAAATTGAATACACATGAAAATATCACTAACCACACTCGATGACGCAGTTCAAAATTGGTTTTCAGTTTTACCCATAGAAATTGAATCCGACTGGAAACAATTTAAACAAGAGTTTTTAAAAATCTTCGACTCTGAACGAAAAGAACAACATCAAAGAGTTTTATGCAACAAAGTTCGTAGACCCTCGAATGAAATCCTAGTATCGGAATCCTAATACGAAAAGCTTATTCCCTCAATACACATGATTACAAAAAATGACAGAAACTGCGATGATGACTTTAACACTACAAGTAAGAAAAGCTGCAATAAAAAAGAAAGCATCACATCCATCATCAATCAGGGAACCAAACAAAAGTTGTTAGATAAATTAGAACAAGCTGAAAGTACAATGGAACTAGAGTAAACATAAAATAAGTTTTTCTAATAAGTTTCGCGGAAGATCATCAGGCCGACGAAATTCACAAAATTTTTCATAAAACAGACTGGTTTATTATTAAGTGCAAGCGCACTCATATAATGTAAATTTTAATTTTAATCACAGATTGGCCACTCAGCATTTATTGTTCCGACTTTCGATACGAAAGTAACGGAATATTTGTGCTCGGGGTGGGTTTTTTTCTTCAGACAAATTTCGAATTTTCAACTAGCCATTTTTGACGGATTTTTTTAATATCATTCAAAAGGTATTAATATCATGAGCTTAAATTTGAAAAAATATTTCACCTGAGATTATTTTTTGCAAAGTTATGATGGTTTAAAGATTGCCATTATGGCCATTTTGACCAATTTGGGACAATTAACGCGCGATATAATGCGCGCTATTAACGCGTAAGCGGAGATTTAGTCCGTCTTATAAATCGTTCCAAATTGGTTGAACGAAGCTAATTTGCTATAATTGATTTGTTACGAGGAACAAAATCTACCTTTTTGTACTTTATATGGCAAGTGGGGGGATGTTTGTCTTAAAAAATGCAAATTTTAGAAGAAAAAAAATTCCATTTCATTTTTTTTCATTTAATTTTTTAAGGTTATTACTGCTGCTCCATAAACCTTAAAAGGCAGTCGGAACATTTAGGGCGTCGCCCTAATACGAGCAGTCTTGTTTTTATTAGTTGACAAATATATCTTTATTTCATACGCTAACGAGACACAGCCTACGTCACTGTTGAAATATATTAATTTGATACAACTTCAACGGAAAATAGGCTTAAGTTTACTGTTTCCACTAGTTTAGCTGAGCAGGCAAAGCCGACAGTGATTTTTAAAACCATCTAATTCCATTCCAATTCACAAGAACTCTGTTTAAACTCGAGAGTAAATTTGCTCAATAATGCGAGAAATTACAAGCAAAAGAACCAAGTTTTTTGAAAAATGCATTGAAGCAGATTTTAAAAAAAAAATACAGATCCCAATGAGGAAGCTATGATACGTATCATTTGTTGTCAAGCTGGGATTGCCTGATCCTAATGAGGAACGCATTTACTTCGAGGATTTGACACGAAATTCATTGACATATTCTCAGAAGAATACGTTGAAGAACATTTTATTATTTGACTATTGATTCGATGTTTGTTCATTTTAAAATTTATTAGTGAAAACATGACTTTTAATATTTTTGAAACCATGCAGTGGTTTTCCTGTAGCGTTCTTTAAAATGAAATTTCCGATTAGACAAGTTTTCTGCTGATTAACAAACAAATTTACTGAATTTCATCAATGCTTGCATCTGTTTTTATAATTTTCCCTCAAATCTGCTTACTTCAATTTTCGAACGCACTCGAGATCTATAAACATATACGGTTGATACATAATTTGATCGACTGAACCCAATGTATGCTTCGACTGTGCTCGATGTATGTTTCAGCCGTGCTCGAGGTACTTTTTGACAGTTCTCGAGGTACTTTCGAACCTTTGCCCAACCTCATTCCCTATATCCTCTGTTTTTGAAACACGTACTGGCTTTTCGAAACACAAAGTGAGCACGTCACACCGATGGAAAGTTTTGAAGCTTTCATTAAAACTTTTGCAAAAATTAGCTCATGAAGGAGACGGATAATATTACGGCTGTAAACTTCATTAAATAAGGGTAAATTTCAAAAAATTTTGCATTCTCTGTCGTACAAAAATCCAGTAGTGAAGTAAATTGCTAATAAATGAACATAACAATTTCTAAGCGATTATCTTCCGGCATATGGAATACTCCTCAAAAAAATTTTAAAATCCTTATTTGATTATTGATGTCTTTCAAACTGCGTTTTGTTCCTGATTCTAACAGAGAGTCCCAACCTACAGCAATTTCTCAAAAGGGTCTGTAACTTATTAAATAACTCCATCGGGTTTTTTAAGCGAATTTCATGTCGAACCCTCATTGAAAATGCGTTCCCCCTAAGGAGAAGCCAACTATGCTTAACATTAGATGGTACGGCTCATAGCTCCCTCATTGGGTTCTGTGTTTTTAAAATCTGCTTCAAGGCATTTTTCAAAAAACTTGGTTAACTTGCTTTTATTTGATCGCATTATCGGGCAAACACACTCGAGCTTATACAGAGTTGATGTGAATTGGAATGGAGTTTTGAAAAATAACGGTCAGTTTTGCCAACTAGTAGCAACAGTAAACTTGCGCCTATTGTTCATTTGAAGATGTAACAAAATTAAACCATTCATCAGTGGGGTGGGCTGTGTCCGGTTGGCATTTGGAATAGGGATATATTTGTCAATTGATGAAAAAATAATTACAGCAACTTGGTTTGCTGCAGACATTGCACGATTTTTTTTCAATGAAACATTCTGTTTGAAAACCAACAGATTAAAATTGTGGAAGCTGGTCTATACAGCGCTTATCATTAGAGCATTTTGAACTACTAGTACGACTTTAACTCCAGGATGTCGATAAAAAATGAGGAGACAAACTATCAACTTGCTGAAAACTTCAGTAACCATGCATTTAATATGAGACTACCTACCGCAATTAACTATGAACGCTATATAAAACCTAATAAAAGTTTTACCAAAAGTTTGAAAGTCAGTCGCTAGGAGCGGTGTTAAAAATGTAGAAAAACTGATTAAAAGAAACCAGAATTAATCTTTAGAAATTTAAATGCATATACATTTCTGTGAAACAAAAATACACTAATCGACAATTCGATTTTTTTTCTTTTGTTTCGTCCGTGATTCTCAGAGAGAGTTATTGCTCCTAAGGAGAATTTGTGGTAAGTTGGATTTCTCCGTAGGATGAACAACTCTCTTTGAGAATCAAGGACAAAACTAAGTTTGAAAGTCAAAGAAAAAACAAATAAGGATTTATTTATTATTTGTGAGGAGCGTTCCCATGCAGGACGGTAATGACTGAGAAATTGTTTTGTGATTTAACTAGCAATTTTCTTCACTCCTAAATCTTTTTTCGACATCGAATGCAAAACTTTTGAAACCCACTCTTAGTTATTGAAATTATTAAGCCGTAAAATTATCCGTCTCCTTCATTAGCTACTTTTCGCTACCTTTTGGAGCAAAGGTTCTTTTGAACCTTCGAACCTGTCCATCGTTTGTCTTGCCCATTTAAAGATCATTTAAAATACCTCTATAAGAGTGCCGATACATGGTTCCAAAAACGATAAACGGGGCATGATTTGACTCAAAAAGTCAAAAATGGACAAACATCAGATCAAAAATCAAACAAGGATATCTTTCGACTATTTCGGTTAAATCATGGCTCAGGCATGGCCCGCTCTATCACCTCAATCATGCTCGATCACTTTTGCAAGGTCGCCACAATTTTTGCCCGATATACACGTAACAACTCTTTCCTGCTTCGAGCACTCAAAAATCTTCCTTTGTTCTAAACATATCTTTCTTGGCTCGAGCAAAACCGAGCACAATTGTTTCGGACTAGTAGGGTCAAATCATACTAAAAATCGTTCAGACGGTAGAAAAAAAAACATGAAATTGTCCGAAACGTTCGAAACTTAACGTCAGGTTCTCGACCAGGGCCCGGGAATAAACTTTTTAAAAGTGTCAAAGAACCCTTAATTGGCTAATTATATGATAACGCAAATGCAAGTTTGATGAATTGTCTCTTTTGCTATTGGAAAAAAGGAAATAACTAACAAGATCCTTGTTCATTTTTCAATTGCAATTAGTTCAAACATAAATAGGGCAAACTTGTTTTCCTGCAGAAATTTTTCGTTTTGAAGCAAGTATCCAAAATGCAACGAACAGCAATATAATTACGAATCTCTTTGGGTGAGTTATTTTGATTAACTTTCTAATTCATTTGTAATTCGTGTTTGGGGATGCATATCTGCTATTGCTTTGCCCATCATTATCAGGCCAGTTTGTAGTTTTATTACACACAGCTTCGTGTTTGTTAGTGTTTGAGCGTGTATATGTTGATGTGTCTGCGCTTTTTCGCATATCTTTATGCGTCAAACTCAGAGACAGGCTTTGAAACGTGTCAAAGTCAAACTACTGATGTCACCTATCAATTTAATCTGATGTCCATCAGCAAATACGAGATAGCATTCATTCTGTCCGATTAAAAATGCTAAAAAAGTATGAAAACAGGCAGACAAAAAAATAAACTTAGCATTTAGAGCTGGAAGATGTTTTAACCGTTCCTGCAAAAAGCACAAAAAAACTATTCAAAGTAATTTTGTTAATAAAAATTAATTTTCAGTTACAATTAATTACAAAAACCAATTTTGGATGTGTAAATAATCTTAAAGTAACAAAATCTCTCCTTAAAATTTCATGAAGATAACTTCAAATTAGGTGAAAAATTAGGAGAAAAGGAAGATAAACTGTTGGTTAGCTTAACTGATTTGAAAAATGCTAGAACGGTTTTCCATGATTTCACTCAAAATCTATACAAACCATAAAATTGCACTAGTTTGGATGGAAAACAAAAAACGAAAATGGGACAAAATTTTTTGTAACAAACGATTATAACCCGCCCCGGATTTCCAGTAAACAAAATGTCTAGTTAACAAAAGAAAAATTCCTTAATAACAGCGTCAAATTAGTTGAATTAAAATTTATCGACATTTGCGTTTTAAAAAATTTGGCTGCTTTTAACAAACAAAAAACTATTTTCAAATAGTTTTCCGTTATGAAACTTGAAACCTCTAACCAACTCCCCTACCATGGGATCCTACCATGCTCCTGCGGAAAAGTGCAGGAGCAAACTATTCTAGAATGTTTTTGATCATTTCAAAATGTCGTTGAAAATTCCAAACCTTTCCAGAATTTTCATACACATATATCGATATTAATAGCGAAAAAATCTTGAAATATTTAATTAAGCATTACTAGCTATCTCTGAATTATTAAATTTTTGCAGCGCTTATACTTCAAAATCTTACTGTGGTTGTTGGATAGTCTCAACGAGGTTAATGAAAATGCATAAATTACTTCGAGTTATACTTCAGACACATTCATGTACATTCAACACTCAATAGCTTAAAAGTCTGAGTGTTTCATATAAACAACCGCAGTCAGAGTCAGACAGTTAACAAGTCTGTGTAAACCAAAAGATAAAAATGTACAATATATAGGCAAATTGAACTGCATAATTTCAGAACTTGAGCCAAAAATTATTCTTAAAACTTTGACTTTTTGACCAAAGACATAGAAAAAATGTTGCTCAGCATTAAAAAACGCATGGAAACTTAAACTTGGTTAGATTTTGCCTGATTATTCTTATCATGTCGTATCATTCATCAAGGTCATAAAACATCAACTTGTATCACGTTGTTCGCTAATTTTTTTAACGTAGTTTTCTCTTTGAAAATTGCTCAGCATCAAAAACTATGTTAATTGACCAGAGTTTTAAACATAAAAGATGTTCAGCTTTGAAATTGTGTCTACAAATTTATGCATTGTTCAACTTTTGTCTCATCAAAAGTAGTATGGACCATAAGGGTAATGTTGGATGTTTCATCATCTTATATCTTAATAACTATTGATTTTTTTGTACATTTGCGTTCTTCGTGTTCTGCCTCATCATATGTAAAATGACTCATCAAGATCATAACACATCAACTTATTTCTTTAAAAAAAATATTTTTTCGAACACTTTTATGAATATAAAAATTGCTCAGGATCAAAAGTGTGTCCTAAAATTTATGTGAGTCCATTGATCAAGTTTTGCCTCATTATATGCAGTATTAACAACGGGACCAGGTTACATTATCCTTATCCCAATAACTCATGGTCTCTGAACACAGGCATGAACACAAAAATTGCTCACCATTCAAAAGTTTATTTTGAAAAAATGTTCAATATTCGTGCTTTGCCTCATCATATATAGTAGTAGGTATGAGTCATCATGGTAAAAAAAAAAAACTTAATTCTCAATAGTTTTCAGTTTTTCGGCCCTTGTTATGAACATAAAGGCTGCTCAGCGTCAAAAAACTATGTCTGCGTTTTTGTGCAATTTTCAAGTTTTGCATCATCATATGTTAAATCTTTTTTAAAATAAGTAAGTATTGGGTTTTTGAACATGGGCATGAACACACAAATTGTTCAGCATCAAAATTATGTTTGAAAAACGCCCTGGTTCAGCATTGCCTCATCATATGTAGTTTGATTCTTCAAGGTCGTGTTACCTTATCTTATATCCCATTAACTGTTGATGTTTAGTCATACATTTGTCGAAATACTCGAGAATTTTTAAATATGGGAACGATCATAAAAACGAACATCAAGAAAAACGATCATAAAAATTGCTTAGCAAGAGTATACTTGGGAAAATTAAAGTATGGGTGTTCTGTTTCAACACACGTATGCCTCATCAAGATTATGTTCACTTATCTGCTATCTTTTCTAGGGACTTGAGCATAAACACATTGCCCATTGACTTAAATTTTGCTCAACATTTATAATTTTGATTGAAACAAAAAACGGGTCGGTTTTTTCATCACTTTTTGGATGACTTTTTTCGGCAACTTTACATCATTAGCATTTTAAAATACTACTACTTTTCGACCATGACAATGAAAAAAAAACATACAGTGTTTTGATAATTATGGTTAGAAAATTTTACAAACTTGGTTTTTTGGGTAATTAAAATGGTTACTCATTAAGTCTATAATACATCATGTGATAGCTCATTTTTTTTGTTTGACCAAACCATTAAAAATCAAAATTGCTCAGCTTCAAAAACTATAAGAAAAACAGTGTGCATTAATCATTTTTTGTATCATCTTATAACGTATAACTCGTCAAGGTCATGTGGAGTTAAAAGTTATTGCAGTTGTCTATTAATTTTTTAAGCCTTAGCAAATTAACTTTTGTGCTATTTCAAGAAACATAATTCTTGTCTACAAAAATATGAGAAATGAACATTTTGAGACAAGGAAATTTAGTCCTTACCTCATTGATTACCGATTTTCAACTTTGTTTACTGCCGATGTTTACTGCTCCCTCATGTTCGTGTTCCCCTGATTAACTCGGCTTCTTTTGGCCGTTCTCTTGCCTCCAGTCCACATGGCATCGGAGTCTTCGTTCCAATTTAACGCTCGACCAGTATTTTGTTTCCTTGTTGTCGGCTTCACAGCTCCCTGCTTTTCGCGTAGTTTTTTTTTCAGTTTTATGCCGCAGTCGTGCGGTTCCGGAATAATTGCCGGTAGGGATTGTTTGGGAGAATACTCTCGCTTTTCTGCCACGCCACTTTTTCTCAGTACAGAATCATAATCTAGTGTCACAGTATTTTTACATTTCTTCTTGATTTTTTTTATCTATAAGTCTATACATCTTGTTTCTATCGTCAGTCCTTTGGAACAACAGTTCGTCCTTCTGATTGGCGTTTTAGTTGAGTCTTTGGAGCCAGCCAGTACGCCATCGTGGCCCAGTTGTTCTACCTTTCTGTTCACTAAATGCTCCTCTGTGACCTTCTGTGGGTGGTTAACTTATTTCACATCGTACTCTTTGTCAGACCTTCCTTTCCAGTCGGTCTGATTGGGGCGTGGCATTTGGTCAGTACGTGGGTCGTCGCTATCTAAACAGACAGACATTTGTCGCAACATTTTGTCCTAATTAGGATTTTTTAGTGATTCAGTTTCTATAATTTCCTTCGCACCGTTTTAGCATCCCGGCCGCAAAGATTTCTGATTGAAAAAATCATAAAATAGCGTTTGACTAAATCTAAGGGCGCTACTGTGTCCCTACCTCTTTGCGTACGGTAAAACAAAATTTTCCAGCTCATGATAGTCCGCTATTCACAGCTGTAGCTCTGTGAACAATTACCGGAGAGTATATAAGTTCATTTGTTTCGGTGTTACAAAAAGCTTTAAATGGCTTTGACTTGAAGCTGAACTTTTGGTTTAAATAAAATTTTCGCGGTACGCGATGATTTGATATGTAGATTTGATATGATTTCATCCAAATCAATATGATTATAATAGCCGTGGGCCAGCGTGAGAATCTTTCCAAAGCTACGAAAACGTTTTTTCTGATTCATTCAAATATTTGTTTGGGCTTCAAATTTCGATTTGTAGGCATTCGTTTTGTTTTCTTGGTTCAAATTCTTTTCCTATGTCATCTTTAGCGTATTTAGGTTCTAAGCTTCTACATGCGGTTGTACCGAGCCGGCAACCGTCGGCGGCGGCCACCAAGCTCAGGCGGATGTACGGGAACCACACGTGTTTTACCGCATTGATTGTGTTCCTTTTTCTGTGATGGTAACTATGATTTCTATTCACAATTAGTTTTTGTTAAGTAATGCGAATGACGACAGGCTCGTCCATCCACAGACAGTGTTCCCTGACATGTAAGTCGCTTTTATGTTGCCACGATAATCACCCGTAGTTCATACCTTCGTTTCCAGATTTTGTTCCTAGGCAAAAATCTTGTCTTGGATAGCTAGCGTTTGCAGACTTCCCTTGTAATAGGCTCTATCCGCTTGAGGCTGAAAAATGCAGGCAGTCACTCGGCTTTCTTGACCTTCTTTGGCACCCAATACCCCGTTGGTAGTGATCACCGTGCTGGTTTTTGCATCACTAGTTCCAATTATTATTATCTCCAGCTTCTCGTCAAAGACTTCTATAACCGAGCTGCTCCCGCTTGCAACTTCTGGATATCGAGAGAAATTTTTGTTGAGCTTCTTTAGATTAAGTTCATTTTCTAAGGAAATGAAATTTTGTAGTTTGAACTGTTTCACTTTATTATCACTCCAACTACTTTCTCGTTTTTGCGGTCATTGCATTCCGATATGCACCTTCTGATTGGTCAATGTTTTTGTGCAT